TGTTAAAACATCTGATATAATCATTTTGACATGACTACAAAAGAAATAGTTTTTTGCACTTCTACATATTTCGGTCATCGGATTTATGTCTTTGATCATTGTTAAAGGGAGATTCATAGAAAGCTACTATACATGAATAATTTGATCAATTATGCAGCATCATGAAAAATTATGTAAAATGTAGTAATGAAGTGGTACAAAGGAACTGCAGAGGGAAAATTTCAACATGAGCAGTCTCTACAAAGAACAATAAGATATAATTCCCAGGCCTGATAGAGTGGAGGAATGCCTGGAGAGTAAGAAAGACCCTTCAGGTACTCTGATTGGACAATAAATTAGTAATCATGTCCTCTCTGTATACAGTTCTAAATATTCCTCAGTAAATCCGTACATTTGCTACTGGCTCGGGAATTTTGTAACACACTAGTCAAATGGCATATACACACATGCACATGCACATACACATCTGATTGTATAAATGGGCTCCCATAAAAATTTTCCTGGTTCTTTATACCCAAGGAGAGGTACTGATTTTTTATTTTCATAGGCAATAATTTTTCATGCATTATTAATTTCTCTCCCTTCCCACCATAACAAAAAACAAAAAAATTTTCCCAGAAATCGACAAGCCAATTCTAAAAAGGTTATAGATTTATGCCTGTATATCAATACCAGCTTTAGTAATAAAAATAATGTAACAACAAAGATGGAGGACTAGATTTATTGATAACAGGACATCTCTTAAAACAGTGATTCATTTAAATTTTGCTGTATGCTGAGTAAAAACAAATTCTACAGAAGAGAAGAAATTGCCCAGAAATGGAGGCATCTCCCTCCAGACACTTATAATAAGCTTTGTAATTTTACAAATGAGGTAACTGCATTTTTAGTCAGTGGGAAATTATGAAATATTGGTTAAATTATAGAATGACACATTGACTCTGACTCATTTTTATAGACTATAAGAACAATAGTCTATTGGGGGCTTAGCTTTCTCACAAATCACTAAAATTATGTACTACCGTGGGGTAGGCATAAAAATAGGTAGGATGAAATGTTTAAAAACTATATAAAGGAACAAATTGTTTGGTGTGGGCCCTGTCTGAAAGGGCCTGGCCAGCAACTTCCAATTTTTCCCTGAAGCAACAGTCTTAATGCGACGTTCTCTTTATAAAAACAGATGTGCTATATTATATTTTACAAAAAAATGTGTTAAGAGAAAATTTCTTTTACTTTCTATAAAAGTTGTTTTTAGTGTTAAAGTTATGGATCTCAAGATCAACTTCTAAGGAAACAACATAATGTTTGAGTTAATATATACCTCCTTTTATATTTTATATTAAATATTGTTCTTTAATTAGCAGTCCTTGCTACCCTAATTACATAAAATACATATTTTCAATATGGATTGATGAATGCATTATTTGTTATAAAATGCAAGTCTTATATTTAGTAAGTGCACATGTATTTTGCTGAAATTCTGCATCACATTCCTTATACACAACACTTGATTGCTGAAAATGCTGAGAAGAGAAAGCATCTTTAATTAACGCAAGTGACATTAAAAGACAAATAGAAAAAGGAAACTTCTAATTGTCTGGGGACACAGAAGTTTTGGAAACACTTGAGCAAATGAAACCAAGAAAAATTATCTTGGAAAATCACATGGACAGATATTTTACAAAACCTCAGGAGAAGTAAAAATCAATTTTTCAGGTTCATCAACTCTAAATGAAATATCTTTAAATTCTAGTTTGAAATCATGTAAGAAACTCTTTCTTCTTAATTTTTCATTTATTCCTGAGCTCATGTTAAAGACAGTGTTTGAAAACAATGGGAACCTTCTCCACCTTTATTGCCAGAGAATCTGTTCCTATCTCTCTTAGATGTAGATGGAACAGTTAGAAATAACCTTCACATTTTGCAAAACACTGAATGACTTTTCTCCACAGATAACACAAGACAGCCATGACCATGTTATTCAAGGACCTGGTATGTGGTGAGAGTTGTAATTCACTAACACATTTTTCATGCATTTTAGAGAGGATTTTAAATTGTGATGTTGTGTGTGTGTTTTGGCAATGCTATGAAGTTTAATGCAAGATATGGGTCTAAGTATAACTGTGTGCACCTGGGCTATTTATAAAAAATTTTTTGCTCTGACATTCATAATATTTAATAAGGATTATCATATTACTATGGTCAAATGATGTGAAAGTGAATAAAATACTATATCTGAAGTGATTCAGCAATTTATAATTAAGTTTGGAGTCAGTAGTGATTGTTATAAAATAGTGCTAGTTATTTTATTTTTGTGAGTGGTATGGATCACTTATTATTTAAAGCCTAATTAAGTAATACCTAATTTCTGTTTTTTATATTCAACAAAATTAAGCCAGTTCATATTTTCATGTGTGTTGAGGAATAAATTTTATAATTTATTCAGGCTTTCAATCAATGAATACAAAATATTCCTAAAAACATCTATAACTTTTTTGTTGTAGATAATCAACTTTATCATTGTCTGTTTTATTCATGTATTTATTATTTAATTGTTATCATATTATTGTTTGCTGGGGTTTCATTGTGACATTTACTGAAGTTCTTACAGCATATCATTTTTTAATTCAATCTCTCCATCATTCTCCTTTACACCCTCTTCCCCCATTCCTAGTATAGTTTCAACATGTCTCATTTTTCCATTTCCAATAATGAATACTCAAAATCCCCACTACATGCATCCTCCCACACCCTTTCCTCATTGTCAATTTTGATTGATAAATAGTAATTGAACTTATTGCATGCTACGATATGATATTTTAAGAAGTGCATACACTGTATGATGATGAACAGATCAAGACTATTGTCTCATATGGTTATCATTTCTTTGGGTTGGGAATATTTGAAATAATCTCTACTAGATTTTTTAGATATAGAATTAATTATTTTCAAGGTTTGTTGCATTAGTGTGCATTAGAAGTTGTTAATCCAGGGGTAAGGGTTTCACTCATGAGGTTGTATCAAGAGCTCTGATGTATGAACACAATAAACATAAGTCTTTCAGAACCATTTACAGATGTATTGATATAAAATATGGTATTTCCTATTTCCCCACCATCACACTAATCAAAGGCATTATTAATACCTTATGTATTATTAATGTTTTGTTTAACAAATCATGCCATAGTAAGTTATGATATTCTTATCTATGTAGAGATCGCCATTGACAAATATTTTGAATGTCTAGAAAGTTTTAGTATTATTCATATGGCATCATATCCCAATGTGAAATTTTGCCATTTGTCTGTATTTTATAAATCATTATTATGGTTTGATTTAATAGTATAAATATATATATATAAGCATGTTTCTGATTCTGGTATTTTTACTAATATATTTTCCAAAAGTATTACAAGAATGGACCAATTTCTTGCACTTTTAGCATAATTTTAAAATGACATTTTAATCTTACAACTGATTCAATTTTTCCTGACTTTTTTGCATATACAAACTGCTTAAAATAATGATTACCTCAGTATTAACATCTTCCTTTTGATTTATACCTTGGAATATGTCAATAATTACCAATTTGTTGCTCATGTCTAAGGAAGCTTGAAGTATGGGTAGTGTTTTTTTCACAGGCATGTAGTTATGAAGCAATGTAGTATGAATTACTAGATTTTAGATAGCAGAAACCAAACAGATTCATTCTTTCTAATTAATGTTTGATTTGAACTAACTATACATTATCAGAAATAAGATTATAGAGTGCTACCATATATTTCTCACCTTGTTTTCCTTAATATTGCATTATACTGTCATGGATTCATTTGTCAAGATAATGAAGCAAACATAATGATTTTGCTATTAACTAACCAATTGATTTTATTTCTATTGAAGTAAATTTTCCAATATTATATTTTAATGTAGTAGGAGTCAATCTAGAATAACACAGTGCTTTATTATAACTACCTTTTAGAAGATTTAAAATCATAATCCAAATAATTGTAAAACATGAGCACATGGTTTACTGCTTAAATATTGTTGTTTCACATGAATTTTGAAAATTCCTTTATTCGAAAAGAGAAGTTAATGATTTGTTTGATGCTAATGAGAATTTAAATCAATAAATGGTATTCCTCTTACAATGGCTGAGATAAAATGGTGAGAAAAGAAGAGTTTGTTAGACTAATATGTCTTTGTCTTCCTTTTAACCTCCCTCTCAACTTGGTGTTCTGTGTACAATGAGTCTACCTGAAACAGGAGTGGAAGCAGGTAGGTCTCAAGGCATCAATAATCAATAATATATTAGGCAGTGGGTCCTAAGAATTGCATTCTTTACATTATTGCATTTAGTCATTGTGACTACAGGTATTATTTATTAAGTTATGTCACATTTTAAATGATGAATTAAAAGCAAAACCTCAATATTTTATATTTTCTTATGCACCCAGTATAGAGTTAGGCACTTTTCCATAGATCTTTCTTTCTTATAGAGAATGAGTTATTCCATTTCAGTATTTAATTTCAAAGTTTAAAAGAAATATTCAATGAGGAGTTGTGATTTTCAAACTATTAAAGAGCATGTTATTCTTCTTCTGTTTGTATATGAGTTTGAGTCTGGCATGATCAATGAAAAATATCCTTTTCTTCATAACTTGGTTTTGGTTTCAGAATGCTTTTGGATAATTCACTTTAGGAACCACTACAAAATGATAAAAAGCTGATTTCAAATAAATACTATTTATTTTCTCTACTACTTAAAGATTCAGTCCTTTCCCCATATTAAAACTCTGGCTTTTTGATATTGTCAATAATTTATCTTCCTCTCATTTTTGCCTGTTCTCCATCTATTGTCTTGAACATATTCCTAATTTTGTATTCTCAATGATAATAACATAACTCAAAAAGATTGCATGTTGATGCAGCAATTTTTGATGAATATGACATTATTAGGTAGTCTGAATCAATGAAGTTTTTTTATAATTACAGATTTAAATAAGCAGTGATTTATCTTCAACTATTCCTTGGTAATCATGCAAAATCAGAGTTTTGTTACTGAGTTTATTCTCCTGGGACTTTCACAAAATCCAAAAGTTCGAAAAATAGTATTTGTTTTATTTTTTATTGTCTACATTGCAACTGTTGGGGGCAACATGTTAATTGTGCTGACCATCGTCTGCAGTCCTTCACTGCTGGGTTCCCCCATGTACTTCTTTTTGGCATTCCTGTCCTTCCTGGATGCATGCTTCTCCTCTGTCATCTCACCAAAGATGATTGTGGACTCACTCTATGAGAGGAAAACCATTTCCTTTGAAGGCTGCATGATGCAGCTCTTTGCCGAACACTTCTTTGCTGGTATGGAGTTGATTATCCTCACAGCCATGGCCTATGACCGTTATGTGGCCATTTGCAAGCCCTTGCACTACTCTTCCATCATGACTTGGAGACTGTGTGGCACTCTGATGGCAGTAGCCTGCACAGGAGGTTTCGTGCATTCCATCATACAAATTCTTTTCACCTTCCAGCTGCCCTTTTGTGGCCCCAATATCATTGATCATTTTATATGTGACTTGTATTCATTACTGAAGCTTGCTTGCACAGACACTCACATCTTTGGCCTTTTGGTTGTTGCTAACATTGGATCTATTTGCATTATAATATTTTCCTTATTGCTTGTCTCCTATGCTGTCATCTTGTTCTCTCTTAGAACCCACAGGTCTGAAGGGCGAAGGAAAGCTCTCTCCACCTGTGGATCACACATTGCTGTTGTGGTTTTGTTTTTTGTCCCATGCATATTTATATATGCAAGACCTCCATCTGCTTTCTCTTTTGACAAAATAGTGGCAATACTTTACACCATCCTAACTCCTTTGCTTAATCCTATGATTTGCACTTTCAGGAATAAGGACATGAAAAATGCCATAAAGAAATTGTGGAAGAGACTAGTGATAGTTTCTACTTAAAAATAATATATTAAACATAAAATATAATACAAGGAATAAAGAAATTAGTATTTATTTATACAAAAACTTTATTTGAAATATATTATAGGAAAAGACATAATTCTAGAGAGAAAATACGAATGTGTGGAGTCAGGGTATTAACTTTCAACTTGATATCGCATTTTCACTTTAAATGGTCAACTCAATATCTTAATGTGTAACTTAAAGAAAATTTTAGGTCAGCCAAGCTCAGAAGACCAAAAATCGTATGTTCTCCCTCATATGCAGACTTTAGATCTAAGGTAAATGCAGCAATAAGGTTGGACTTGGATCACATGACAAGGGGAGAGCACATTTGGGTGATATAGAAATAGGTAGAAAACCCAAAACATTATAACATTTGATGTCCAACTCCAGAGGAACTAATACAGAAACCTTAAAGCAACAGAGGTTATCATGAGAAGGGGATCAGTAACCAGGGTAAAGATCAGCTGGAGATAAATCAACATGGGTCATAACACATGTACACAGAAGCAATGCTAGGAATATTTCTGTGTAGGCTATCCTCAACTCAACTAGCAAAAATGCTTTGTCTTCCTTATTAGGCTTGTCTCTTTTCTTCAACAAAACTAGTGATAAAGGTAGAATAGGACCTGCCTGGAAATGAGGGGGGAAGGGGAGACAGGGTGGGGGAGAGGGGCAGGGGGTAGAAATGACCCAATGTATGCACATGTGACTAAAAGAATTAAAAAAACTTAAAAGGAAGAAATTTTTATTTTATGATATCTTTTCTTTTTTTTTTTTTTTTGGTGCTGGGATCGAACCCAGGGCCTCACGCATGCTAGGCAAGCGCTGTACCACCGAGCTACATCCCAGCCCTTTATGATATCTTAATACAATAAATTGGGAAGATATTTTATCTTTAAAAATTCTTGGGTTCACACTAAAGATTTTGAAAAGTCTTGTTATAAGAATATAACCATATATTAAGAATTAAGCAAAATAAACTATTTCAAATAAAAAGAAGATTTTATGCAGCACTGATCACAGTCACTCTGGTGACATACATCAGCACTTAGCAAAGGCAGAGATCAATTTATAGAACCTCAACTACAGGTATTCTTGTATAAGACCTTGTTTTTAAGGTTGGGCTGTTAATATCTAGTGTAGAATTTGAGTTTTTTCTTGACAGATAAAGCCTGATTTCCAAGTTTTACCTATGGATGTGTTGCTCTTGAGCTAGTTGACCACCTCATTCCAATCAACCATGCAAAAAGAGGTGGGGCAGATTACACAAGGAGTGAACTTGGAGTAACTGTTTTACTGTAATCAATGGGAATTCTTGTGACACTGCACCAAACTAAAGCTATACATGTAGTGAGTTTACTCTCCTCATCCGCTGTAGTGGGAATAGAAGTCAGAGAAATCAGTCACTTAAAAGGGGATTTCAAAAGAGTATTACATTTGAATTGACTAGATAGTTTTGATTTTCTACTCAAAGGAGAGCATCCAAATTTAAACATATACTCTTTGCCATTTCTGTACTTCTATTTACTACTCTCAGGTTGTCAAATACCATTGGCAGTAAATATATCTGCAGTAAAATATTTCAATTTCCATTAGTAAATTGATAGAAATAACAGGCCAGTTGAGCATGGTGGGGAAAATGCTGAATGTTTGTTTTGTTTTGTTTTTTTCCTCTTCTTAATTTTATATGTCTGGTCCAATTTTTACATTCACAGAATGTGCAGAATAAACATAAGTTTTTACTGATTTCCCACTGGAAAATTAAGGATTAAGATTTGGACTTAAAACATCTTCTGGACAAAATTTGTGCTTGTCATAAGGCACAGACATGCCAGGGTGCTGTTCCTGCTTCTTTTCCTTGTTTCTCTTTTTTTCACCCAGATAGCAGTGGTTACTTCTTAATGTCCTTTGCCTTCATACAGAGATTTTTGTTGTCAAGTGGGTCATTTATCCCTGAGAACAACTTTTGTTGGTAAAATGAATAGGAAGGAAATAGGGGGTGATGACAACACTATAACTTTAGGACACTATACAATTTATTTTTGATGTTTTAACACTAATTTTGGAAATTCTTTCATATGAGAAATGGTGTTGACTTGTTTGAATCTAATGAGTACTTTAATCCAAAAAATGGTTATTTTTCTTAGACTACTATATCTAAAGCAAGTAGAGAGAAAAATAATTTATTTATCAGATTAATAATAGGACATTTTCTTTAAAACTTACACTCAATTTGGGTGTTTTTGTGCAATGAGACTATAGGAAACAAAAGTGGATGAAGGTGGGTCTCAGGGCAGCAATAATGTATCCAAGGATAAATAAAGACAGTTGAAAGTGCCATGCTTTTAAAATTACCATTTCTGCACTGAAACCTTTCAAATAAAATAGCTTTATTTGGAAATAAATAGCCTTGGTCATGCTAAAGTAGGAATTAGGGGTAAAAATGCTCTCATTTCTTCTCTGCTAATGGCTGTGGCAGTTTGTGCTCAACACACATCATCTTCTCCTGAGCTTCTGACTGCATCAGTGTTTTTACATGTGTGGCTTCACTGACTCTCACAAAAATATCTATTGTATAATCTTTCAAGTTAACCCATTTACAGAAGTGAAATTTGAGGCTTTTAGAATTTTAAGAACTTTAAGTAACCCGATCCATGCCTAGACAAAGAAGAGACTGGAGAGCCTACATGTGAGTACAGGTTGTAAGCCAATATTCTTGCTTATTTCTATGCATTGTCTTTCCATTTGGGGCCACTGCGCTATTATATTGTTCTTATTTATAACAAATCACTAGTGTCTGATCTAATGACCTTGTAAGGTTTCTGTGATAATATTTGAGTGGATACAGAAAACTGGTTGGAAGAAATCCAATAACAAATGAAAGAAGCTAGTGTAAAGTGAGCAAGAAAACAGATACTAATGTACATTACCATATGATATGATATGATATTGTACATTATAATAATTGCTGATTCTTCAAAACATTGTTTAATTTCATGTTTTCCTTTGTAATGATGCAAAACCAGAGCTTTGTAACTGAGTTTATTTTCGTGGAACTGTCACAGAATCTTAAAGTTCAGAAAATAGTTGTATTTTTGTCAACATTGCTGCTGTTGGGAGCAACATGCTAATCATAGTGACCATTATGTGCAGCCCTGCACTTTTGCATGCTCCTATGCACTTCTTCTTGGCATTCCTGTTGTTCCTGGATGGGTGCTTCTCTTCTGTCACCACATCAAAGATGATTGTGTACTCCTCTATGAGAGGAAGTCTATGTCCTTTGAAGGCTTCAAGTGGTTCTTTGCAGTGCACTTCTTTGGTGGTGTGGAATTGATCATCCTCACAGCCGTGGCCTATGACTGTTATGTGGTCATTTGCAATTCCTTTTACTACTCTTCCATCATTAACTTGAAGCTCTGTGATAGTCTAATTGGGGTATCCTGGAGAGGGGGCTTCTTTCATTCCATTGTACAAATTCTCTTCATTTTCTAGTTCATGTTTTGTGGCCCCAATGATTATTTCATATGTGACTTGTACCCATTATTCTAGATTGCCTGTACAGACACTTACATATTGGGACTTTTGGTAATTGCTAATAGTGCATCTTTTTGCATCATAAGCTTATCCTTGCTGCTGGTTTCTTATGGTGTCCTGTTGTTCTCTTTGAGATCTCACAGATCTGGGGGGGTGGAAGACAGCTCTCTCCATCTGTGGATCCCACATTGCTGTTGTGGTTTTGTTCTTTGTCCCATGCATATTTATATATGCACAACCTCCATCTGCTTCTCCTTTGACAAAATGGTGTCAATACTTTATACCATCCTAACTCCCTTACTCAATCCTGTGACTTACACTTTCAGGAACAATGACATGAAAAACATCATGAGGAAAGTGTGGAGGAGATAGATTTTAGTTTCTGAAAAAATGTAATATTAGATTTACACATATATAATAGAAAATACAAAGTTGTTGGTATTTATTTAGATGAACATTTTATGGAATATTCACTTTATGGAAAGAGATGACATAATTTATGGTGAATGCACTAATGTGGGGTGTCAGAAAATTATGCTTCAATTTGAGTTCAATTCTCAACTTCTTTTTGTCACATATAAACTAAGAGAATATAATATTATATTTTCTGAAATACAGAAACAAAAATGGAAGAGATTTTACATATTAGAATATTTGGAATTCACATTCTGTTTTGAATTGTAAAAGAATATGAAAATAAATGAGAAAATATGCAAAGAAACTCAAACAATTCCAAGTGAAAAGAAGTTTCTTTTCAACACAGATCCATGTAACGGATGGAAGTCTTCAGAATTTATGAGAGGCAGGGAAAAGATGATTTATAGAACCTCAAGTATAAGCTGAGGTACATCCATTAACATCTGGTAATTAATTTGTTTTTTTTTTTCTGAATTTCTTAACAGATAAAACTGATTGGCTCAGTCCTAATTATGGATGAGTTCCCTTTGGATGAAGTGACCACCTTGCTTTACTTATCTAGAGAAGAAGACTTTGGATATAGAACAAGGTATTGGCAAGTATCTTACCTTTTACCATCTTAAGACACCATATTACTAGCAACACCACACTAAAACTATAGATGTACTGATCGTAATTTCCCCATCCCCTAGAGAGGTAATAGAACATAATGGAAACAGAGAGTTAAAAGTAGATTTCAAAATAATTACATTCAATTTACTTCATTATATTGATTTTGTTAAATTTGTGTACTCAGGTGGAAATTACTCTACTCAAATATTTAGTAATAAAAAGCTAATAGAAATTTAAACACAAATTTTGTCATTCTTCAACTGTGTTTTATTAGTCTCAGGTTGGCAAATTCATATTCAGTCATCTTTTTTATAGTAAAATATGTCAATTTCAACTAGCAAATATATAGTACTAATATGCCAATTGAGCATTGTGAGTAAAAATAACACATATTTTTTCTCTCAGCTTAATTTTGCATACCACTCCCATAG